GTTATGATTAGTGAGGTAAGAAGATTGATAGAGATTCTAAAATGGACTGGAAGCAGTAATACTGGGTAAGCGTGATGGTTTCAGGAAAACTACTGTGTGAAGATGTTTTAGTAATTGTAGTGCTTGGGCTTGATCTCATGACCTGAAATAAAGAATCCTACCACTGCCACAATTTGGAGTGCTTGGCATTTAAGTTCTTAATTAAATGTGCAGATCTTCAAGTGATCTCTTATTGCCTGGCACCCCAATTAAACTAATTGTGTGATTTAAAGTGATAATAAAGGCAACTTTTTTATTAAAAAAAAAATAACAAACATGTCATACCTGCTCAATGGCCAATGGCTCTCGCTGCTGTCTCAGCCAATAAAGAGGGAGAGTCCCCAGAGAATCAAGGCTTTTGTGCACATTGCTGGATCGCGATGGGGCTCAGGTAAGTATTGGGGGGGGGGGGCTGCTATATAAAGAATGTTTTTACCTTCATGCATACAATACATGAAGGTAAAAAAAAAACCTTGATCCTTTGCAACCACTTTAAGTCTTTTGACATAGTACCAATGAAATACCACAATTTAAAACAATGAAAAAATAACATTTTACTTAACTGATAACTGATTACAAGTGATAGGTTACAGAAAGAGAGCATTAGTGGCCTAATCCATTCATTAACAGGGGCTCTGACTTGCAGTTCCCTCACCCTGAAAGCCACTGAGTCAGTCATGATGGCATTTCTCTTATCACAAAGCCCCCTCACCAGGCAGGGTGTAAATCACCCATTTATGCTTCTGAAAGTCACAACTTAGCAGCTTCTTCTCAGTCTTCCAAACTGCCTAATATATCACTAAAATGATTGGTCAGAGCAGCTACTGCTCTGTTAGGCAGTTCCTCTGAAAATTCAATTCCTGATTCCAATTCATTTTAGGCTAAATTACGTGATATGAAGATTAAATATTTATGTACTGTTACAGAAATACACAAGAAAACAAACTTTTTGATTTGGAGATTTCAGCTCAATATGAAAATATCAAATATTATTTATTTTGCAACAAAAGCATAAGAACGCAAGAAAATAAAACTTGCTGTATTTTCATGTCTATCTTCAGGCTTACAATAACATGTACTTGCTACAGTTGCAAGAAAAAGTATGTGAACCCCTTGGGATTACGTGGAGTTTTGCATGAATTGGGCATAAAATGTGCTCTGAACGTCATCTAAGTCACAACAATAGAAGAACACAGTCTGCTGAACATAATACTACACAAACATTAGATGTTGCCATGGTTTAACTGCACATAACATGTAAACATTCACAGTGCAGGGAGGAAAAAGTATATGAACCTTTGGACTTAATAACTGGTTGACCCTCCTTTGGCAGCAATAACCTCAACCAAACGTTTCCTGTAGTTGCAGATCAGACCTGCACAACGATCTGGAGTAATTTTGGACCACTCTTTTTCACAAAACTGTTTCAGTGTAGCAATATTCTTGGGATGTCTGGTGTGAATTGCTCTCTTAAGGTCATGCCACAGCATTTCAATCGGGTTGAGCTCAGGACTCTGACTGGGCCACTCCAGAAGGCGTATTCTGTGCTGTTGCAGCCATTGTTTTTTTGAATTACTTGTATGCTTTGGGTCATTGTCCTGTTGCATCACCCATCCTCTGCGGAGCTTCAGTTGGCGGACAGATGGTCGTACGTTTTCCTGCAGAATGTCTTGATAAACTCTGGAATTCATTTTCCCTCAATGACAACAATCCGTCCAGGCCCTGAGGCAGCAAAGCAGCCCCAAACCATGATGCTCCCTCCGCCATGTTTTACAGTGGGGATGAGGTTTTGATGTTGGTGTGCTGTGCCTTTTTTTCTCCACACATAGTGTTGTGTGTTCTTCTCAAACAACTCAATCTTCGTTTCATCTGTCCACAGTATATTTTGCCAGTAGTGCTGTGGAACATCCAGGTGCTCTTTTGCAAACTTCAAACATGCTGCAATATTCTTTTTGGACAGCAATGGCTTCCTCCGTGGTGTCCTCTCATGTACTCCATTCTTGTTTAATGTTTTCCTTATTGTAGATGTGTCAACAAAAATGTTAGCATGTGCCAGAGATTTCTGTAGGTCTTTAGCTGACACTCTGGGATTCTTCTTTACCTCATGCAGCATTCTGCGCTGTGCTCTTGCAGTCATTTTTACAGGACGACCGCGCCTAGGGAGAGTAGCAACAGTGCTAAACTTTCTCCATTTGTAGACAGTCTGTCTTACCGTGGACACATGAACATCAAGGCTTTTGGAGATACTTTTGTAACCCTTTCCAGCTTCATGCAAGTCAACTATTCTTGATCGTAGGTCTTCTGAGAGCTCTTTTCTGCGAGGCATGGTTCACATCAGACAGTGCTTCTTGAAACCAATAAACCCAAAACAGGTGTGTGTTTTTTAAGGGCAGGACAGCTGTCAGCAACACATCCAATATTATCACACTGATTGGAGTCAAGGTTGGCTCACTCCTGGCTCCAATTAGCTCTGGGAGAAGTCATTAAGCTAGGGCTTCACATACTTTTTCCTCCCTGCACTGTGAATGTTTACATGTTATGTGCAATTAAACCATGGCAACATCTTATGTTTGTGTAGTATTATGTTCAGCAGACTGTGTTCTTCTATTGTTGTGACTTAGATGACGTTCAGAGCACATTTTATGCCCAATTCATGCACAACTCCACGTAATCCCAAGGGGTTCACATACTTTTTCTTGCAACTGTACAACCTCTTACCCATACCTTTTTATATGATTCTATAATTTGCATTTAAAAAAGACATTCTAGATACAACTATGTAATAATTCAGGGTGTTAAAACACTCAAAATATAATGTAATTGTCCTAATAAATACTTCTCTCACATATTTAACCTTGACATGTACATCATTCACAGTTTTCTTTGACTTCAACAAATGATAAGCTGAGACATTGAATATCTAAATACACATTCAGATCCAAACTTACCTACCTCATGAAGTATTATGGTCAACACTTGCCTATGCACCACACACTTCACTGATTATTTGTTGCATGCTTTTATTGTCTTATAGGAACTGAATTGTACAGGAAAAAAAAACATAGGGCGTGTACAGTGGAATACAGGTTAGGGGACCACTTTTATGGATAACAGAAATTTTCCATTTTCCCATTTAATGATCAATGAAAAAAGTACTCACTTGGGCTGTTTACCCAAAGCAAATGAAGAAAAAACAGGGATAAATGGTCATAGTATGCTTGCATCTTGGGCCCTGCATCTGCACAGGTACAGTACATGCTTGCACAGCAAAGGTGATTTCTGAACTAATCTAGCTATTCATGCCTTGATTTTCAGTGCATGCAGTATGGCCCTAGTTTGCTAATTGACAATGCCTAAAATGAAAAACTAATATGACCAGCTTCTCAAGCAATTAAACGCATCCACATTTGCTAAGCTAACTGACAAGTCAAAAACCCTCTACACTATGCTTTTGGAGGACAAAATATGGTTTATAAATGGTTATTTGTTGTCTGAATCTCTATTTCAATAACTAGCATATGGAATCTCACATGCCAGCTAATTCTTGAAGTTGTCTGTGTTTGCACAAAAAAAGTTCATGGACGGCACAACACTAATCGATATGCAATACATTCTTTATGCTGTTTACAAATCAGGGGTATTTTACAGCCCCTTTATGATAGTCATGTTCATGTGTTGTGGGGGTGTTTTTAGATATGATATGAATATTTAAAATACTAATAGTTGTTTGAAAACGTAAGAAGAAACTCCTTTTTTGTTTTTGACAAATCACAGCTTAGCTGGTGTACATTCAGCAATCGGACATTCCATAACAAACCAAACTTATTTGTATTATGTAAGTAAATGCATGGTAGGTACAGATTAAATTCTGATTGCATGATTTTCTTGTCAAAGCATAATAAATGCCTTGGTGTTTATACATATAGTTAACTAAATCAGGCTGGCTGTCTGTCTTTTGCAGCTATATTCTGTTTGCAAAAGAAAGACAAGCAGGGCACCAGGTCAGTGTAGATAAAAGCAGTAGTACTTTATTATAAAGAAACGTACATCTTAAAATCCCTCAGTGAGTGTGGCAGATGAAAGACACTGAAGCCAGGGACATCAGAAGTGCGGATCAGATGAACTATGCATGGCCTGGGAGGAAATATGCAGCGATGGATGAACAGCATCTCTGAGTGCCTTCCCCCTGTCCTTGATGAGGAGCTGCCGGTCTGATCATGTTTTCTAGAGCTTCCACAGTCTCCTTACCTGCACATCCATTGGATGGACTTGCTGATTGCTGCACCCTGAACACACCAATTCCGCCTGGAATCCTGCCACCTATCCATCCATCTGTGGACTGGTTTTATTCCTTTTATTTCTTTTACTCCCTCTTATTTAATTTCATTCACATTCTGGTATAATTTATTTCATATAATAATTATTTCCATCTTTTGTGTGAGCGCTGAAGGTTGTTCATAATTTCTGATGATCATCTCTTATGTTAGCTATATTCTGTTGTCTGCTTTTTTTGGTCTTCTTTACAAGCAGTCTTTCAAACACAGGGTTTTTTTTACAATGCACCTATCTAAAATGGTGCCTATACCAGGAACTAGATTTTAAATTCCAGTTTTCAACACCAACATAAATGTGCACTATAGAGATTTCTTAGAATATGGGGAGGGTATAGAGAGGTTTGGTTTTATTAGGGGTTACCTAACCTAATAGTGTTTATACCTCATAGGGTTTTTATACTCCTTTGTATAATAAACATTCATTGAGGTGACATCCCTTGTGACAAATATGTGTATTTGTTTTTAATATATTGAGTTGCTCCATAATAGTCCAGTAATGGTATTTTTTTCTTACTTTTTGTTAAATACCAATTGCACATTTCTAAGATTTGCCCACCCTTATTTGGGCATGCTTTGGACCTTTAACATTTCTATTGAAGGACTGGTCCAGGGGCGGACTGACAACTCATGGGGCTCCCGGCAATAGGGGATCATGGGGCCCCTGTGTCCTTTCCCAAACTCAAAAAAGCATATGAAAAAGGTACCAGGGGCATCTCATGGGGCCCCCTACTGACCCCGGGCCCTCGGGGTCAGCAGTGCCCGAGTTTCCAAATGGTCAGTCCGCCCTTGGACTGGTCCTATAATGGCTAGTCTATAACAAGATTAAAATTGGGTCTGTCTACTGTCTATCATCATGCATATTTTACAGCTCCTATCCTACTAATGCATAGTTTTCCACTGTACATTATGTTTAAGAGATAATCCTGACTTTGAAGGTTTGCCCATTGCCAATTTCTTACCTTGATTTTTTTTTTTTTGACCAGCCACTTATTTAATTAAATGCCTCATTTTTAACTTTATGTTATAATAGGTAGTAAAACTATCCATGATCCCTATGGCAGTGGCAACATTTGTTAATTAGTTAAAGCACTGAACATGGGTTCTGTTTGAAGCAAATTCAGCGAACATTACTGAAGTTTAGGTGCTGAACCCTAACCAACTGAATTCAATGGTAGCCAAATTAGGCTACCATGTCTGGGGGATGTCCCAAACCTGTACGATGTATACAACTTACTGCAAAAAAAATTGAATAAATCAGATATGATGAAGATACACAGCAACAACCCAAAAAGGCAACATTTTATAACCAAATCCATCTATTTTGGATTTCAAAAAGGAGAGGTTAAATTCACTGTCACTTTCATCCACACCACCAGACACTGACAAACAGATTCAACACTGTTGTTGCATCTGATGCTTCTTGTGAAAAAAAGCAAAGTAGGAAAAGATGGTGCTCACCTTTATTCATGCTAAAAAATCAACACATAACAATATTATATATTATGTACAATTATATTGAAAAGTAAGGTGTTGTACACCACTTATAACAGTAGTGCAAACAATTATATCACACAAAAGATGTATGTATCTAAAGAAAAAATAAAAATTAAAAATAAACTATATATATATATATATATATATATATATATATATATATATATATATATATATATGTGTATGTATAGAATTTTCCACCAAATCAACAAATGAAAAGTCCAATAACCATGAGTCCATTAGATCACACAATATCTCTCCTCACCTTGTGGCTAAATATCTCTAACTATGCAACTCCTCTTCATTCCTCCATACCAAACATGCCGATGTGCCACAACGTGTCAGAAAAATGCAATTTACCAGATAACAGTGATCCCTTTAAACAAGAAGGTCAATGTGTATTTTGAGGGTCTAGACTGTGTGGATGCCTTAATTGCAAAACTTTTCAGTCTCTCCAGAGGCTCTTCATTGATCCACAGGCTCCACATCCACTTCTTATCTGGAGCTCCTCTGCGCTCCTTCCTTCTTTCAGACTCGGTGTTCAGTGTTTGTGCAGAGCCCTGTGAATTTCAAAGGGGGATCCAACCTGGCAGCACTGCCATGGCATAGCTCAGGTAGGCTGGCAGGTGAGGAGAGCTCCCCCTTGTGTTTCCTCCCTAATCACAGCTTCTTAGCAAACACAATGCAAGAGTGTCAGATACAAAATGCAACTTTACTGCAATCATACAGAATACAAGACGAGTGACTAATAGTCTCCAGTTGGCAATTTCAAGTTCACCCATATGAAAAAAATAATACATGCACTTATTTTTGCAGGAAAAAGTGCAGTTATAATTTTTTCACAGGACCCTGCAGGATATTGCAGCCGAGATCAGTGGATTGGGATGCAGTGTTAGGCTCCTGCACAGTCTTCCTACAGCTCTCTGACTGTACTTCTAAGGGCTGTCAGTTTTAGAGCTATGTGATTGCACTATGAGTTTGCTGATCAGTACGCTCTCAGTCCATTTAAACTACTAAACTAAATGTCAATCTGCTGCAGTGCAAAATGGGACTAATTTATTCATTCATAGATGCCTCTAAATGAATGATGCTGCTATGTGGGTGGAACCCCTCACAGACCTGCCGATTTTAAAGATGACACAGGCTGCAGGGGAGGGGAACTCCTGCCCACTGTCACAGGGAAGGGGGGCTAAAGAGACAAAGAGGTATGTTTGAGCATGTTACATGTTGCACGCTAAATACAGGTGTAACATTTACCATGCTCAAAAGGTCAAACTATCCTTTAAAATCAGTGGGATATCTGCAGAAGGTGACAGGCTTTTCTGAGACAGTAGGGTTGATTTACTAAAGGTAAATAGACTGTTGCATTTTACAAGGGGATTTTCTCCAGAGGTTAGTTAATGGGGTAAAACTCTGCTGACTTCCATCATCCAGTCGTATGCAAGCAAAAATGCTGTTTTTTTATGATGCCCTTGCACTAGATTGAGTATTCTTTGCAAAGTAAAATTCCTCCGTATTCACTAAGCTAATTTAATTGCAATGGGCACTCAACCCCTGTGAACCAATCATCAGTTTAACAAGTGTTTGCTTTGTTTTGCAGCAAACAGCACGATTTTTAATACAAGGTCCAGTCTTGTAGCAAAAGCTTTGTTAGCAAGTCTAAAAAAGGCAGATGGATTTTATTCCTGTATTGGCATTGGGTTTTGTGTATACACTGAATTACAGAATATCACAGATTTTTCTGTTACTTGAATTGTTTAAACACTTTAAGTATTAATTAAGTATCAAATGTGCTGCCAAGTTAAAAAAAAATGCAGTTTAACAGTATACACTTAAAGTGGTAGTAAACCTAGTGTTTTGAAAAGTTGCTGACAGGCAGGGTATTTATGACATAAGAGACCCTGTCAGCGGTCATGTACATTGAGCTTTGCATGCACAGCTCAGCAAACATTTACAGCTCCGATCTGTGCTGCCACTATGTGATTCCCATGCACATCCACGGGAGTGATGTCACTGTAGCCTGGCCATTTAAGCAGCTAAAGGCATAGAACCTGGAAGGAAGACCTGGTGAAGATGGAAGCCAGATTGATCACAGTACAGGTTTGACCAGTAGGTATGCCATAATATGCTCATTTGCTGTGCATACTATCACATTATGGCATAACCCATCTGGGGTACCCCAAAAAAAAAAAGAAACTACAGTGGACCTAACTACTGATTTTTAAGATTTGGTCAATGTCCTTGGATTATGACTTTTGTGAGTCTTAAACCCTTTTACAGAATTGCCATTGGTCATTTTTCTGTGAAAAAATATTAATTTGACAAGGGTCAGCTTTGCTGCCTCACTGTGTGGTATCTGTTAGCAATCTAGCTAAAAGCTGAAACTGTAGTGTGATTCTCAGATAGAGATTTACCCTGTAAATATAAATTGAATAGAAAGCACACTACTACAGTTCCACTTGCCTTAGTCTGAACCCATGGTCAGGCAATTACCATTCAGGAATTTAAAGGATATGTTCAGTTTTTGTAACATGTTACACCCGTATTTAGTGTGACACATGCAACATGTTATTATACATCAGCTGACCTCTCCCACTGAGCCCCCTATTTGACAGCAAGCAAGGGATCTTCTCCCTCTGCCCAATGTCACATTTTAAAAGCAATGATGCTGTGCACAGCCACACTGCCAACACAACCACATCATTCATTTACTGAGATCTGCAAATGAGTGACTTACAAGTCCCATCTGCCACTACAGCAAACAGCTTGTAGTGCTTAATGAACTATGAGAATGCTGACAAGCAGGGGCAGACTGACAACCCATGGAGTCCCCGGGCAATAGGGGATCATGGGGCACCTGTGTCCTTGCCCAGACTCAAAAAAGCCTATGAAAAAGGCACCAGGGGCATCTCATGGGGCCCCCTACTGACCCCGGGCCCTCGGGCAGTGCCCAAGTTTCCAAATGGTCAGTCCGCCCCTGCTGACAAGCACCCCTAAAGTTCATTGACTCTTCCTGCACCTCAATAACTATATGCCTGTATGGGGATATGGATAGACAGCTCTACTGAGTCTCTTCAGGAACCTGACATTGCCCCTGTGATCCACTGATCGTAAGTGTAATGCTCCTGCTGAATGACAGCTTTGCTACCTCCTGGCGTTAACTAAACAAAGGGGTGGAACCACTCAATGACATCATCATGTGGTCCCCCTCCTTTGTTTATTTAGCAGTGGGAGGTGAAGGAGCTGTCATTTGGTGGGACCAAAGTGTCAGTGCTGGTCGTTTTTTTTTTTTTTTCATTTATGGAAGTGGCCAGCATTCATTGTGATTGACATTTGATCTACTTTGAGGAACCTTTGTTTTTTGAGGGGCTTGCATAAAGGACTTGTCAAAAACTGGCTGTGTTTTTTTATTTAGTTTTTTAGGTTTTTATTGTTATTGTACCCTATTCTCTTTTATATGGGGGTTGGGATCTGAGTCCCCCTTGTTAAAGGGGCTTCCAGATTCCGATAAATCATTCCCTGCACCTCCACAGGGAAAGAGGGCCATGTGGATGAGGACAAGAGCCTCTTCCCCAAATATTGCATGCGATGCTGAAAATATCAATTTACTATCCCCAAACCCCCCCCCCCCATGGTAAGGGCATGTGGCCTGGTAAGGTTCAGGGGTGGTATTTACTGAGTGTTTTTGCATTTTGGGGAATAGTAAATTAATATTTTCAGCATCGCATGCAATATTTGGAAAAAAATGTGTCAGATCACCTAAATACTACATGTGATCTGTTGTACTGAATAGAGCCTATTCATGTTAAAAATTCCTTAACTAGCAACAGTTTCTAGCCTAAACCAGCTGTCTATTTTTCAATAACGCATAAATTGAAAGCATGCTGCTTTGTGCTGATAGAAGTACCATTTACTTTTGTTTGCTGCTATCTGCTGCACGTAATAGGGATTTGGGTTCAGGTCAACCATGAGTTTGATTTGGCCAGTTCACCCAACTGCCTAAACTTCAGGCTGCTGCAGTTGGAAATCATTCATTTTTGAACCACCCCTACCACCCCTAACAGCTCTCTGCCAGGTTGTTTCATGTTTTGGCAACATGGAGTGATTCTTGGTATTTGACCACATGTGGTTATAACCATATACAGTGCTACAAAATTGAAGGAACACTTTGAAAACACATCAGATCTCAATGGGGAAATATATCAAGCTGGATATACTGATATGGACTGGGTAATGTGTTAGGAACGTAAGGATGCCCCATTGTCTAATGGAAATTAAAATTATCAACCTACAGAGGACTGAATTCAAAGACACTCCAAAAATCAAAGTGAAAAAATGATGCTGCAGGCTAGTCCATTTTGCTGAAATTTCATAGTACTTTGTATGCCCCCCCCCAAGATTATATGCATGCCTGACAACGTTGGGTCATGCTCCTAATGAGACGATGGATGGTGTCCTGGGGTACTTTCTCCTAGATCTGGAGCAGGGCATCACTGAGCTCCTGGACAGTCTGAAGTGCAACCTAGTGGCATTGGATGGACTGAAACATGATATCTCAGAGGTGTTCTATTGGATTTAGGTAAGGAAGCGTGGGGGCCATTCAGTGGTATCAATTCCTTCAACCTCCAGGAACTGCCTGCATACTCTCACAACATGTGGCTGGGCATTGTCATGCATCAGGAGGAACCCAGGATACACTGCACCAGTGTAGGAACTGACAATGGGTCAAGGATTTCATCCCGATACCTAATTGCAGTCAGGGTGCCATTGTCTAGCCTGTAGAGGTCTGTGCGTCCCTCCATGGATATGCCTCCCCAGACCATCACTGACCCCCACCAAAACGGTCATGCTGAACGGTGCTACAGGCAGCATAATGTTCTCCATGGTTTCTCCAGACCCTTTCACATCTGTCATAAGCTCAGGGTGAACCTGCTCTCATCTGTGAAAAGCACAGGGTGCCAGTGGCAGACCTGCCAATTATGGTGTTCAATGGCAAATTCCAATTGAGCTTTATGGTGCCGGGCAGTGAGTACAGGGCCCACTAGAAGATGTTGGGCCTTCAGAACACCCTCATGAAGTCTGTTTCTGATTGTTTGGTCAGAGACATTCACACCAGTGGCCTGCTGGAGGTCATTTTGTAGGGCACTGGCAGTGCTCAACCTGCTCCTCTTTGCACAAAGAAGCAGCTACTGGTCCTGCTGATGGATTAAGGACCTTTTAGGGCCCTGTACAGCTCTCCTAGAGTAACTACCTGTCTGCTGGAATCTCCTCCATGCTCTTGAGACTGTGCTGGGAGACACAGCAAACCTTCTGGCATCGGCATGAATTGATGTGCCATCCTGGAGGAGTTGGACTGCCCGTGCAACCTTTGTAGAGTCCAGGTATCACCTCATGCTGCCAGTAGTGACACTGACCCTAGACAAATGTAAAACTAGTGAAAAAAAAAAAGTCAGAAAAGACGAGTAGGTAAAAAAAATGGCATTGGCCTCCGCCTGTCAAACCATTCATGTTTTGGGGGTCATCTAATTGTTGCCCATCTAGTGCACCTGTTGTTAATTTCATTAACACCAAAGCAGCTGAAACTAATTAACAACCCCTCTGCTACTTAACTGACCAGATCAATATCTCAGGAGTTTAATTGACTTGATGCTATACTCTAATTAAAAAGTGTTCCTTTAATTTTTTTTGAGCAGCGTAAATTTAAATATGGAGGTATTGATGAACTGAAAAGAACCTCTGTCCAACTGTTAAGCATGGGGTTGGATCAATCATGCTTTTGGGTTGTGTTGCGGCCAGTGGCACAGGGAACATCTCACGAGTAGAAGGAAAAATACTGATTACATCAAGAGGCATAAACTGAAGGTTTTGCCATGGCCTTCACAATCTCCTGACCTCAACATAATTGAAAATCTATGGATAGACCTTAAAAGATCAGTGGTCTTTTGTAAGGAAGAATGGGCAAAGATATACCTCAAACAAGAACTGAAAGACTCTGGCTGGCTACAAATGCGTTTAAAGCACTTTTGCAGACGCATTTTTTTATGGTTTTTTGTTCATTATTGGAAAGAGTAAATGATCAGAAATAAAATTAACTTTTGGATCATATTATAGAATGTCATCTGTAATAATGCCCTTGCTGTGAACTTTCAAATGAAACAAAGAAACCCATAAATACAAACATTAGTTTATATATATATAAAATATATATATACATACAATATTACTGACACAAAAAATACATGACATTTCACATCTAATACTGACACAAAAAAAGAATTGGTTGGTATATGCATGTATATTGCAGCCTATTCATATATGACCACCAAATCACATACTTTTCACAATGTAACACTATCTTAATTATAAACATTTTGGATGTTGTGTTGCTTCCCCAAGACCATGGATAAATAGTCAGTATGCAACAGTAAATGTATATTATATAGGGCGCGCTTGTTGGAGCCCAACCTCTGTAGCTGTAAGATAAAGGTGCCAGATGGATATCAGGGATGGATGGATGGATGGAAGCAGTAACACTGAGGCAGCTCTTCTTAGAGTGGAATCAAGGCTCTAATGCATTAACAAAAAAAGAGAGGAAGGCGCCTCTAAGTGCAGTATTAACAATTTATTAGTAGACAATGGAAAATTTGCACTTACAAGATAAACGGTTAAAAAGACTCATTGTGTGGTAATTGGATCCAGGTGGGACATCCAGCCGTCCAGCAGCAAGCTATGCCTATTCAGAGGTCTGAAGAAGGAGCCTATTGAGCATGCTCCGAAATGCATTACCGCCCCTTTCACCTGCTACATCTGACTCTGCTCTCCGAGCTTCATTTTTGATGCGCAGGCACATCCTGGACTCTACTTCCTGATCCTATAGGCATAGCTTGCTGCTGGACGGCTGGATGTCCCACCTGGATCCAATTACCACACGATGAGTCTTTTTAACCATTTATCTTGTAAGTGCAAATTTTCCATTGTTTACTAATAAATTGTTAATACTGCACTTAGAGGCGCCTTCCTCTCTTTTTCTAGTATGCAACAGTACCTATCATCTTCGGAGTGATAGTAATATAGTACAGAAGATACTTTATTTTTACTGACCTAAACAACTTTATTCCACTGGGGTGAAACAACTTTTAGTTCACACTCCAAATTTTTTCTCAAAAAGAGGGAATGAGGGCCCATGGGGTCCTGTCATAATATGTAATACATCAGTCAGCAGCTAGAGTACTTGCCAATGGTAACAAGAAAATGTTCTGGGACCCTCCACAAAATCCATACAGATCAGACTGGTATGAATTATTGAATTATGAGGGGGTACTAAAGCATTTTTTACAAACAGAACAAAGCCTGTGGGGAACTATCATTTAGCAGCAATGTCACTTTTGCAGAGTACATTGAACTGGTGCACAACTTCACATGCAGGTTTACAACATCCCCAAATGAACTGTATATTTTTAATACTGCCCTTTAAGCCTCTCCCCACTGAACTGTATTTTCTTTTAAATTTGTTTTGCATTAGTGCATGATCCCTGTGTTAGTTTCCAGCTACTCATGCCCCTTTTTTTAACAAAATCATGCAAACTGGCCTTGAAAAAGGCTGTAAAAAACATCAATAGACTTAACAGAGTGTAGGCATTATGTCTGGGGTTTGAAGCTGGGTTTTCTATGTAGCACTTTGATTCATTCATCCCTACAGGTATGTTGTTTCCTAGATCAGAAAGAATGTCACTAGTGGTCATTAGGGGAAGTGCTTAATAAAAACAAACATACACATGGCAGCAAAAGGGGTAACATAAATTGCTTACAACCTGAGAACAGTTTACTAATATTCCATAAACTTTCACTTGTATGGATCAGCGATAAACCAACCCTCAAAACAGGTAAATGAAGGCTGATACATATATCTTAGTATTTAATTTTTTGGTTCTTCTAAATGTTCATTAAAAAACGTAAGGCATTACTTTTTAAAAAAAATG